AATTGGTGAATTGGGTGAATTAGAATTTGACATCATGAATTTTATTTATTCCATAATTTAAAATCTCCAAAATAATTAGATTATTTTATTATTTTGTTGATTTCGTCACTTTCGTCAAATTACTTAAAGTGTAAAAACCCTATTTTGTCACATTTATTTTCATCATGTGATGAAAAGGAGACATTTCGTCACCCAACCTTGGTTTCACCCGAAACATTAATCCAAATACATGTCACATGCTTTGTGTACATTTTCATCTGAATTTGGTTCATGACCAGCCTCAAGAATTACAATATTTGGTGGTGGTAAGTCACATCCACTTATAATATATTGTTGAATTGAAATATCTACATTTTCTTTATTAAAGTTCTTAATATATGTATTATACAGAGCATCAAAAACATTATTAAATTTTTCAATCCAATTTTCAACAAATGAATTTTCACTAAATAATGGTTCCTTTATTGTTGGTTGAAACATTGGTAAATCAGGTAATTCAAATTGAAATACCATTCTTAGTGTTGCATGTGATGTATTTCTTGTAACATCAAAGATGTTACCATAAGAAAATGTATGATCTTTAATGTCAATATTATCAATTACTGCTAGATTCCAAATATTACGGCCTGTTTTAAGCTTGGATGCTGGTACAGCTCTTGAAATATGTTTATTCATATTCCTGTTTTCATGACGCCTTGTATGCGAAACAACATGGACTTTTTGTAATATTGAATATAGATAGGGCATCAGTCTTGGTTTCTGGCATAATGATGACATCACTTGTGTAAACCAAATTTTGGTATTGGGAAAAGCAAATGTTAATATTACTGATGCTAAAAATGTAGTAAGCTTTATTACATTAGTTTTGTTGAACACAGGTGGAGGTAATTTGCATTGTTTTCTTTTTCTTTTTATTACACCATGTTTTTTTTCTTCTAGATCATGAATAAGCCCAAAAAATAAGATCAGTGAGATCTTTTGGCATTATTTCATAAAATTCAGCAAGTGTGGCAGGATTCTCTAATGTTTCTTTATTTTCTATGAGTTTGGTATGTGATTTCCAGACAGATGTTGCTAAAGATTTACTAAATTTTATGTATGATTCTGTTTGTGATTTATTTAATTGTAAATTTTCATTTGTAGACATTTTATTCACTCTAAATGCTACACTTAAAAGAAATAAAGTTGGTCTAGGAACTATTAAATTATTGGATGGTATGGAGGATTCTTCTATTATGGATTCTGTTGATGTGAAATCTTGTACTATAGGTTTGGTAGAAACTTCTGTATTAAAATCTTTAAAAACTTGTATTAAAAGATTTAATAATTTATTTTTTGCATTTATATCATCTGAAGAAGCAACATTGTTGATCCATTTAGAAAAAAGAATCAAAGATGGGGATGATTCTTTGTCATGAATACATGGTTTTGGATGTTTTGTTCCTGTTCTTATATGTAGATGTCCTCCATTTAATACCCAACAATTAGTACAAATATACCTTACACGTTGAGGAATATTTGTTTGAAAGTTTGCAAAATCAGGTAATCCTTCCATTGCTGGACAATTATATAAGCCTCTACCATATATGCTTTGGGCAGTAATCACCTCCTCTAGTGACAAAATATTTAAATTTGTTGCAAAGAAGACATCTCTTTTTATGCAATTTACATTTATTAGCTGCAATAATTGATTTGATACATGTCTCTCCTGGTAGAGGTTTGTGAAGTGTATTTTGATCATAATTTAGATGTCTTAAACACATACCTAATCTTTGTATATCTTCTCCAACTTCTTTAACAGCACCTGAATCAATCTCAAATGAACCACTTAAATTTGAAATACTACGATTTCTATCTATACAATTACATCTTTCAATTTTGTTTCCATTTTTGTCATTGTCAATGATTACACATGGTGTTACTTTATCAAATTCCTCCAGGAATTCTTTATCATATTCTTCTTGATTATCTTCATCATCTTCATTTATTTCACTCATAGACAGGTTTTCTTCTATATTATCATCAACTAATTCTATATTATCATCAGCTAATTCTATATTTATAGCATCATTCATTGATTGTTGGAATGAAAATTCATCAAATTCTAATATAGAATCAATCTGGTCATTGTCTTCTATTAATATTGGCAACAAGTTAGAATCAAAGAATTCATTTAAAGAGGTAAATTCAGAGTTTGACATTTTGTAAGTTTTATTAATTTAATGTTTTATTTAGTTAAATTTAGAATATTAAATTTATAATACAATTCAAATTAATTCTTTGTGTCAAAAATGAAACCTTTCTTTTGTACCTTTCTTTGTACCAAAAACAAAATCTTCTTTTGCACCAAGAATGAAACCTTTGTATATACCAAAAACAAAACCTTTCTTTGCACCAAAACAAAATCTTCCTTTGTACCAAGAATGAAACCTTTGTATGTACCAAGGACGAAACCTTTCTTTGTACCAAAAACGAAATCTTCCTTTGCACCAAGAATGAAACCTTTGTATATACCAATAACAAAACCTTTCTTTGTATCAAAAAAATATCTTGAAGAAAAGTTATTAATAAATTTAAAGTTGAAACTATATATAATAATGAATAATTTTTACATTACTTTATAAGCTTCCTCTAGTAAAATTCTATTCTTAATATAGTGGAAAGAATACCTAAGTGACTGGGTTCTGTTATTACTTCTAAAAAATAATTATTTGTTTGCAATTATAATTTTCTACACGCAAGATCACAGAAACAAAAAAAAACTTTAAGGTTGTGATTATCTACGGTTTTATTAACAACCTGCCTCAAAAATTTT